CCCCAGTGATGAATAAAACCTCATCTTCCCGCTCATTAAGACACTGGAATTAGCTGGGCCCAGGGCCCCACCAGGCAATTTGCTTAACAATCCCAAGGCTGCCGGCAGCAGGAGGGGCCAACCTCCGGAAGGTGGGTCCAGGACCCTGATCCACCTCCCCGGAAAGAAAGGAGGACAGAAATCTCCTGCCTCCAGCTGCCCAGCCTTGAACTTAACACATCCTCCCTTCCCTCTCCTCCCGCCTTCCTCTCTTGCTGAAGGCTTCAGCCTTGGACTCTCCGCCCTACGGCCTGCCAACTGAGGCTGTCACTCAGAGGCCTCACCCACCTGCCTCTGTAGATCAAGGTCACACTTCCTAGAAAATATTTCTTTTTAATTATAAAATCCATATACACACAGAGTAAGTGAGCCTGGTAGCACAATGGAACATAAAATGGAAACTGAACTCTGTGGAGAGCATGCTGTTCCAGCATTTAGGCATTCTCTCTACAAATGGGGGACAGGTAGGCATCCTTAAATGTGTCTGACCCCACTTACCCGCCACTGACAACATGGTGTTTGATTTTGATTTTGTTTAACTTACTTTCCTCTCCTTCTGGTCCTATGGATCAAACCTAGGGCCTCTTGGGTGCTTTACTACTGAGCTCTGGCCCTGCTCTCCATTTACCTTCTGTTTTGAGACAGTATCTCATTAAGGTACCCAGGCTGAGCTTGAACTCTCTGTAGCTGGCAGGCCTTGAACTTTCAACCCTTCTGCTTCAGTCTCCTGAGTAGCTGCAGCCTCCTGAGAGGCCTGCAAACACCAGCCACAAGTATACCCATTGTCAGTTGGCCATCATCCAGAGTGGCATACGGCCGGTCTGAAGAGGGAGTTCCAGGACAGCCAGGGCTGTGTAGTGAGACCCTGTCTCAAAATCAACAATAACAACAACAAACACAAAGCAGACTCTCACAAAACCAATTAAAGGAGAAAGAATTCCTGTGTTCTGTTCATCCTACAGTAGCTGTACAAACCTCCCCTGGCCCCAGACACTGGCCAGACAGAGCATTTCTCAGACGTGTGTTTCTTAATTTCCTGGCCCTGAGTTTTGTTTTTACAAATATACCTGCCTATTCCGTGCAGCCCTGGCAGTCTCAGCTCTTTGAAGGATCCTGTCTTCCTGGCCTTTAAAGGGCCCCACCTATTACCCAAACGTGGTTCGAACTCGAACAACACCAAAGCCCAAATACAGGCCCAGCCAACCCATTTCCACTCTGGGCAGCAGACAGGATCCTGTACTAACAGGGCTTCAGGACTTGGGTGACAACCGTCGGAACCACACTCATGACCACTGCCCCAGGCCAAGTCCTCTGTGGAGGCCTTCAACACTGTGCACAGTGACCCTGCTAATACCCTCTCTTCGCCTGTGCTGGGGTGGTGGGGGAATGTGCATCCTTAGGCACAATCCCCAGAAACCCAGCACTCCGCTATACAGGAAAGGAAGACTGCACTCAAGGCAATGGAGAGTCAGGAGCTAAACAGACAGGGCTCCTTACCAGAGAGAGGCCTTATCTCTGCAGCAGCCCCAAAACAACTGGGCCCACCCACAAATGGTGCCCTCTGCTGGCCACCCCAGTCTCTTGTGGGAAGGCTGATGGGCTCAGGATCAAGCATAGTTCGCTCTGATTGGTCACACTATGCAGGTGAGCTAGGACACTGTGATTGACAGCCCGATCGATCAAGAAGCGGTCAGTAAGAAAAGCTGTCTGTGGGTGTATTGTTTGGATCAAGCTCTTCTTGCAGACATGAAAGCCTTTCTCCTTTCTACCTGTGCAGCGTGGCAGCACCCCACCTAGTCATAGAGCTGGAGGTACTTCTGGCCCAGAAGCCTCGAAGCATGCTCTGTCTACAGTAGGGTGTCAGGAGGGCCTCAGCCACCCTGAGAAAGCTGTTTGGTCGTCAGTGCAGAGTCTCAGGGTGATGGACCTGTTCCAAGGAGAGAGCTTTGCAGGTTACCTCTGCTTCCTTGTTGTCCTGGGGATTGTGGGGAACTCGGGACACCCAGAGTGTCTGTGCCCTTGTAGGCACTGTGACAGACATCCTCTTGTAGGACAGAGAATGGACAGCTGTGTCTCTGGGGACAGGTACCTACTTCCTGGATGAGGATGAAGGTGTGGATGGAGACAGGAGTTATTTTCATTCATGATGAGGCCTAGAGACACTGTGGGGTATTCAGCGGCTTGGTCTGTGCCACTGGGAATCCAAATATGTTTACTCATGTCACCCCCTTCGAGATTTGAGTAGAAGGGCTCTTTGCCAGGTCTGCATCCTTTGCCATCCTTGTGCCAACCAAGGCCCCTCCAGCCTGGACTCCTTGCTGAGAGGGACAAGCATCCCCTAGCTTTCTGTGTTCTGGTCCCCAGGGTAGGAGAGGTACAGAAGTGTCTGCCACACCAAGTTACACCCCTTTCTAGGTACTTGGCCCTAAGCGGGTGGCCCTAAGTCTCTACCCACTGTCCCCACCCCACCTGTCTGTCCCAGTTGCTACACACAGTAAAAAGGGAACTTATCAAACAGGCCTTCATGTCCAGCAAGGCCTCAGACAGTGGTCAAAGTGGGGCTCAGGAGGGCAGAGGCCCAGGCCACATCTGGGACTGGCAAAGACTGCCGAGATCCCACACCCCAAACCGCAGGCCCAGAAATGGGGTGGCCCAGCCCAGTCTAGCACATTACCCTAGACTATGGCCCTCAGTTCATGGAACCCCAGCAGGGCTCAGAGACTCAGGCTGTCTCATAGAGTTTATCACTGTCTGATGAGCAGCCATGAGGTCCTGAATGTGTCTCCAGATCTGGACCCTCAAAATAGCAAGTCAGACCTGATCAGGTCCTGTAGCAGTTGGGGCACAAGATGAACTGGGTATAGCCACTTCGACCCTACTCGCCAGCCATCCAGGAAGCTTTGCCAGAGGGGTTGAGGCCCAGGATGGAGTCCCAGCTCTAGTGGGCTGAGCTGGGGAAGCCAGGGCCTTCTTTAGCTTCAGGCCTTCACCTGGAGGAGGCCTGAAAAGGCTCAGGCTCAGGCTGGGGAAGGGAAAGGCTGTCTCATGGAGTGAGGCTGCTCCTGGGCCTGAAAAGTGGCAGAGGGACCTTGTTTTTCACAGTCCAGACCTACCCTACTGTCTCTCCTGAAGTCAGGATCGCTAGAGGCTGAGCAGGCTCCATAGCCCAAGCCCTGTGCCCCAAAGCCAGGGGCTCCTCAAGATGGAGCCAGTGTGTTACCCCGAGGCAGGAAAGAAGAGCAGAGCAAGGGGAGAGCACTGGGGCCCCATGGTAACGCACGGCTCAGCCCTCCGTCCTCCCACACCTCAGCCTCGAACCCTCACCATGCTCTCCGTCTGGTCATTGGTGAGCCTGTGTCACATCTGGGCAGGCAGGGCAGAGAGCTGCAGACCCTTGAGGAGAGGAGGTCAAGGCTGAGGTGAGGACAATGAGGAGAACTGTAGAAACCCCATTCCACAGCCTCCCCGCTGTTCAGGACACCGTGGCGACCCCGGCCACCCCACCAGAAGGCAAGTAGACGCCTGAGCCTCATTGGAAGCCAAGGATGCCCATGCTAAAACTGCCTGGATGCTGGGGATGCCTGAGCTCTCCCCTGGCAAGCAGAGTCAGACTCCCCATACTCCACCTAGAGTTTATCCCAGGATGCTCCCAGTTGGGCTGATTCCCTACAGTGTGAGCTGACACCTTAGACCCCCTCACAGTTACTCTCCCATGGCCCCTCTGCTCCACAAGGTTCCTTCATCCCTTGATCCCTCCACCTGCCCTCGATGGCTCCACAGATCTAAGTAGACGTTGTGGTCCCTGCATTTGGAAGCCCAACTGCGGGAGCCCTGTCCAGGTATGACTACTGATCCTGCTGCCTGGGGCAGGTCTGGTTCCCACTCAGGCCCCGATGCCTAGTTCTTGTTGGCTATAATTCCAAGGACCTCCCTCCTCACAGGAGGACAGATCCTCTGAAGAGCTGTGCAGAAAAGGAGGCTACAGTCTCCAGCCCCTCTGCCCCGGGCTAAGGGTGAAGAGAGTGCACAGGAGAAGCCCTCCAGACACCTGGTGTGTCTTCACCACAGGATTCTGACCCACTTTCCTGGAGAAGGTGTGGTGGGTAGGGACATTGGGCAGGGCTGGAAGGAGTCTGTGTTCTCTTCCTGGGGGTTGGGGGTGGGAAACGGAGCCGTGATGTGATTGTTGGGGGCCAGACATCCCTCCACAACCAAATCCTACTCAAGCCCCAGGCTGCCTGTCCCAACATGTCCCAAGCAACTCCCAAAGTCTCACTGTGTAGCGATGGCTGGCCTGGAACTTACAGCAATCCTCCTGCCTCAGCCTCCCAAGTGCTGGCATTACAGGTTTGCACTGCCATGCACAGCTCCAGCAGCTGTTTTCTGGAACAACTGGAGGCTGAGGTCACCCAGAGGCCAGCAGGGTGGGGGAGGCCTTACCCCTCCAGCAGGCGAGTCCCCCTGCTGCCCCCCCTGGCCTGGCTGGCCCTGGGCCCCAGAGGGTTGGGGGTGGCTCCACAGCCCAGGAGCCGCAAAGGGCAGAGAGAGTGCAGTGTGGCGGCCAGCCGCCAGCAGAGCCGCCAACAATGTGGTTTCAATCTAATTGTCCCAAAATATTGTTACAACACAAACCACGTGCCATCCATTCACCTGCAACTGATCAGCTGCAAAGCTACCGGATAAACGGGCTCCGCACACCCCGGCTGGACTCTGTGTCTGGCCTACTTTCTGCCAGGGCAAGAATGGTCAGGACAGGGGCTAGGCTCTTTCTCTCTCTGTGGTTCTCTGGTCCTGTGGTGGGGTAGAAATTCAGCACACTGGGCCTTAGAGTGTCAGAGAGGGAGCCAGGGACTGCACTACAGCTAAATATTGGTCGGCAAAGCTACATGCAGGTTGTGTGGCCCAGGAGCCTTACTGTTCTTCTCATCCCAGTATGGTATTGCCGGGCTCTTCACCTCTAGGGGAGCTGTCTGAATGCACACTGCAGTGGCGGCACGTCAGGTCTCTCCATCCACACGGAAGACCGGAGTGACTGCAGCAGCTCGTGGAAGGAACTGCCCTACTTAGCCAAGAAGGAAACTGAGGCTCACAGCAGGTCCAGGCACCCCACACCCAAAGACAGAGGACCCAGCCTGGTACCTTGTGCTCCAAAGACACAGGCCCCCATAAAGGAGCCTGGAAGCTTGACCCCAGAGGGACAGGTTACAGGAAATGACCAGCAAGTGCCAGCAGCTAGAGTGGCCAGCAGCTCTGACCGTCCTCCTGGAGCTCAAGAGCAAGGAAGGTCCTAAAAACTAATGACGAGGCCGGGCGGTGGTGGCGCACGCCTTCAGTCCCAGCACTCGGGAGGCAGAGGCAGGCGGATCTCTGTGAGTTCTGGTCTACAGAGTGAGATCCAGGACAGGCACCCAAACTACACTGAAAAACCCTGTCTCGAAAAAACCAACAACAGGGCTGGAGAGATGGCTCAGCGGCTAAGAGCACCGGCAGCTCTTCCAGAGGTCCTGAGTTCAATTCCCAGAACCCACATGGTGGCTCACAACCGTCTATAATGAGATCTAGTGCCCTCTTCTGAGGTGTACGAATATGTGCAGACAATATTATATACATAATAAATAAATAAATCTTTAAAAAACAACAACAAAAGAGAACTAATGGTGTGATAGGAGGTGGGGAACTGGGAAAACAACAAACCCAGATGGGTCACAAATACACCCTGGCAGGTGGCTGGGGACAACCCAACATCTCACAGTGACATGGGTTCTTCCAGGAGGAATCTCCATCAGATAAGGGTACAGGGGCTCATCTCATGCCACAAGCTATGGAGGGAAGCTGGGGAAGGAACATCTGGGGCACAGTGCTGAGAACGATGGGACCCAGGCATGCTGGGTGGCTTACACAGGATTTGTCCTCTAACAAGCACGAAGCAGAAGTCCAGCATCAGGGTGCTGTGATGGCACTGGCTCCTGGGGAGCTCCGGGTCACCTACTCCTGTCTATCCCAGCATCTGGAGCATCTCAGTGAGCCTCACGTACCCTGGGTTCTGTGAGCATCGCTCCAGTCCTGGCCTTGGCCTTTATGCAGCCCTCTTCCCTCATGTGGACCTTTTCTCCATTTCTCGCCTTATTATAACATGTCCTATTGGATTTGGGACCACTCCAACCCAGCATGACCTCATCTCAAGATCCCTAAGTGAGAGACTAGAAAACTGGTTCAGCAGTTAAAAGTGCTTGCTTCTCTTGCAGAGGACCAGAGTTTAGTTCCCAGAACCCATGTCAGATAACTCACAACCGCCTAGAACTCCAGCTCCAGGGGATCTGACAACTTTTTCAGGCCTTCATGGGCACCTGTGTGACCATGGGTATGCATGCACACATGCAAAATAGAATAAAGTTGGGTTTTTTGTTTGTTTGCTTGTTTTTGTTTTTAATCCTTTAAGTGAGACTTGGAGATGGCAAGCAATCCACCTTGAGGCAGCACAGCTGTGAAGTAGCTGATTTAGAGGCCCGTGCTTTGCTGTAGAGCAAAGCCTGAGAAGTACCAATAGAAGCTTGGTGCTTCCAGGTGCCAGAAATATGGGCATGAATGCCTGGCAGAGAGGAGAACAGTGTCTCCAGGTGCCACTGTGAGCCTGTGTGTCTCCTGTCTGTACGTGGAGGTAGTTATTCATCCGGACAGCTCTGTGCAGACTAGGCAGCCCAGAAGGGCTGTAACACGACTCAGCATCACACAGTGGGCAGAGACAGAAGAGGCACTGATGCAGCTCACACTCTGGAGACTGCCTCCCAAAGCCATGGACCAGGACAAGCGTTCAGGACTGCAGCAGGCAACTCTCACAGCATGGATGGAGCTGAGCGTTTCCTTGGCAGTGGGTAACAATGAGATGTGGGCTGAACAGAGAAAAGATGCAGCTGGGCGGTGGTGGCGCACACCTTTAATCCCAGCACTCAGAGAGGCAGAGGCAGGCGGATCTCTGAGTTCGAGGCCAGCCTGCTCCATGACCAGGGCTAGCACTTCCTGGGGTCCTGAAAACTACTTGGGGTAGCAGCAAAGTAATACAGCCACAGCAATGACGCTGCGTGAGAAATCATGGAGGACCCATACCCCATCTGCACTACCAGCAAATGCTGCTTTCCATCCAGTCTCTGGACACACACCAAAGCAGTCAGGGCTGCTTTGAATCTCCTGTTGAGGCAGAGTTGAACGCTGGGGTGGGCTAGGAGGAGGCTCTGGACTCCCAGCCCTTAGAGGGAACCCCGGGAAAAGCCTCAGGCAACACTTTCATGCCTCTCATGGACCTCTGTTTTTT